CCGGATGGGAGGCTGTAAGCACATTCCCACCCAGCACTTTCGATCCATGCTCATGAAAAGGCCCAGAGGGACATTTGCGAACCTTTGATGTTTCCTTGAAGACTCCATTGCTTTTCAGCTTAATTTATTACAGACTGCTTTGTTTTGAACCAAATTAATCCAGGCTGAAAATTGACATGTAAACATCAGCATCTAATTTTACTTGTGCGTTTTTTTTTCTTCTTCGCAGCCCATTGTTGCACATCTTTCAGTCGGCGTAAATCATTACCTGATGTCAATACTCACACACATTCCGAGCTGTAAAATGCTTTTCGTGTTCTTCAGTTTACATGTTAAAGTTTTATCTGCAGCCATGCAAACTCTAGTAAACGCACTGGAAAAGAAAAGGAATGGCACAGAAGTTGAATTATTCAGATGAAGGGGGTGGAATACACAATTGCTTTTTTCCACGAGTCTTCAAAATAAAAAAGAACAGAAATGTTGTCGTCCTTTCAGAATATAGATGAGGTTTAAGTTTGTGGGTTGTGAATTTTTGAAACTGTAAGGAAACTTTCACAAGGAAATTATCTGATGTTTTAACACGTTTGACATCTATATTTATTGACACCTTTTGTATACTTATTTAACACTAATCCACAAATGACAAAACAGCCAGACCAGAATGATTTGACACAATTCTGCTCACTCTCTCATATTTTTTTATTTCTACTGACGCCSTCTTTTACAGAACAGAATAAGCCTTAAACATTATAATTTCCTGGATCCAATTCAACTGCCGTCCTCCATCCAACCTCCAATCCCTCTGYGGGACTTGAGCTTTTCACACGTCTCTAAACTTTACAAAGGAAATTCATTGGGAGGAATTAAATATTGAAGAACATAAAAAAAGGGGATGTAACAGAGATCTTTTTGACATTGCAAGGGATGAGCAAGACAGAGAAAGATTTATGGATTAACTTTTTTCACCATAAAGATTGAAGCATGGGGTTTTAGCTGTATTTTTCAATTTTTTTTACACAAAGGACATTTCTTAAAACAATTTTTTATAGAGAAATGCAATAAGTACTTGCATGAAAAAAATGAATAGAGCACTTATTGTGTTTGTTGCTCCATAGCTGACTTAACTTTCTTTAAAATACTTTATACTGTACTTGGAGGTAAAATGTTAACGGACCAAACTTATGAAAAAATACAGCAGTGTTGCTTCAAAGGAGGCAAAAAAGGAGAGCATGTAATATTTATAATATACTGTATTTCTCCCTTACTGTTCAATTTGATAATTATTTTTTAACATAATACCTAAAAATTACATTTAGTTCTGACTGCTTTGATGTGAAGAAACAAAATTGGATGTATTTTTTTTAACTCTGTGTTGTAAATTCTGTAATGAGTACTAATTTATCTGCTAATCTGTTCTTTATTACATCAGCTGTRTTTTAGATATGGCTGCATGAGAAAAATGTTGAACTTTTGCATTTTTAAATCACCAAATGACCACATATCCAGCCTTTCTATTTCAA